CGAGTGGCAGGAAAGCGCGTGCACACCTGGGGCTCACACAAGTGAAACTGCACGCATGAGTTCCCTCAACACTTCCATGGCCCTGTTCTGAACAGGCCAAAGCCAAGTACTGGGTCAGGACCCGGAGGGGTTGGGGACCCTTCCTATAGTCCAGTTGATTGCTGCAAATGCCCATTTTTGTACTCCTATAATTATTTTATATTCTCTTCCGGTATTTAATTTTATACAGGTGGTCCTTGCAACAGTTTGTTTAGTGACCGTTCAAAGTTACAACAGCAGTGAAAGAAAGTGACTTATGACCGTTTTTCACACTTACGACTGTTGCAGCATCCCTCTGGTCACGTGATTAAAATTCAGATGCTTGGCAACAGACTTAGTTGCAGTGTCCCAGGTTCATGTGGTCAGCTTTTGTGACCTTCTGAAAGCAAAGCCAAAGGGGAAGCCATTAACTTAACAACAGTGTTACTAACTTAACTGGCTCATCTAACAACTGTGGCCAGAAAGGTGATTAAAATGGGGCAAAACTCACTTAACAAATGTTTCACTTAGCAACAGAAATTCTGGTCCCAGTTATAGTCCTAAGTTGAGGACTACCTGTATATTGTACAGCAACCTGTGTCATAATGTCACATTAGAAACTTTAACTGTCAACGCCGCTAACGTCGGATGTTCTTGCTTTGACAACATGCAGCCATTTTCCTTTACTTTATGTTTTAAATCTTAGAATTAGATGATACTGAGGGGGCAGGAGGAGGAATGTGCATGGGAGATTATTTAGACAAAACAACACTGTATAAGGGTGAGAACCAAGGCCGTTTGTAATAAGAGATGATAAGACATGGAGGGATGTAGAACTGGTGGGAAAGCCAGCATTTCAAACTAATTGGAGAATGTGATTTATGACTGTTAGTTAGAGGAGGGAATTGTGCTTTGATACTATGTGGTTAAGGGAGGGGAAGTCAGATTTTGGCTTGGACTATGTACGCGCAGATGTGTTGCTACTCAAATAAAGATTCTTTAAGGTAAACAATGCCTTGAAGTTCTTTGAAGAGTTTCATCTGTCAGAACAATGACATTAACTTGACAACACTGTTTAGGATTTGAAAGGATTTGAAAATTGCTAAAGCCCGAGGCGGGAAGATGGGCTATATGTCAGACTGATGGTAAAATAGTGGAGCAAGAATAGATGCGCTCATTATCTTTGGGAGGCACAACTTAGAGAAATGAGGAACTATTCAGAGCTCAGATGATTTACAAAATGTACAAACTATAGAGATCCGTGCTTAGTGGAACGCTGTTGGAAAATAGAAGGAACTGCTGCAAAGGTTATGTCTGGGGCAGCTGAACGAGCATTATCTTCCCAGACCCCTTCTTGAAGCTTAATTAAAGCTCTTACAGAGCTTGGAATACACATGGACTGCTGCATGGGAGTGTTGTTTAAAGAAAGCAGTCTGGACTTAATCCAGGTCAGCGAACAGACACATTTAAAAAGAAATCACAATTCAGAAATGCAATTAAAAACTACGCCGTGATGAGGATGGGTATTCCGTTTGAAATTCCCCAGCGAACAAGAGTCAAATATTTTCCCCCTTAGTTTTTCAGTTTGCAAACAGGAATTGTTTGCACCATCAAACTGGAGGATTATTTTAGAATAAATTTTAATATAAAGCTCACACTAAAAAAAGAGTGATGTCTTTAGGTCTGCATTTCGCTTCCAGATTTATCCATGTTTCTTTACCTACTGTACAAGCGTGGCAAGCGAATTTTTCCTACTAGCTTGCATATTGTGAAACACACCAGCATTTCTGTAGCAATATTTATCTCTCTCTTTTTTTTTTGTTTGTTTGTGATTAGCAAGCTAGTGCTGTAAGATCTTGCAAATGCCAAATGTCAGATATCACTAAGTTTCTGTTTATATATATGGCACATCTATAGTAAGCTTCTCTTCAAAAATAAATCTAAACAAATTACATCTGCTTCCGTACTGGGAAGATGCTATTTTGTGAATTTCCTGTTTTAATGACATCAAGTTGGTCTAGAAAGGAAAGAAACACTGGACCTTTGCTTGCTGCATCTCAGACTCTGCAAATCATTGGTTTCCTAGCCTAAAATATGGCATTTTCTATATATTAAACTATATGCACATTCACAACCCGAAGCAACCCACCACATATTTATTTACTTATTAGATTTTTTTTATCCTGCCTTTATTACTCAACACGAAATCAAATATTGCTCAAGTAACTGTTCCTGACAGTGAAAACAATTAACCAGTGGAACAACCTGCCTCCAGAAACTGTGAATGCTCCAAGACTGGAGGGTTTTAAGAATAGACTGGACAACCATTTGTCTGAAATGGTATAGGGTTCCTGCCTGATCAGAGGGTTGGACTAGATGACCTCCAAGGTCCCTTCCAACTCTATTATTGTTATTGTTTCACCTAATATGTTTTAGTAAACTAGAGAAAATACAGACTTTCAACAGTTCACTTAGTGGCTGTTCAAGGTTACAACGGCACTGAAAAATGTGACTTATGACCGTTTTTCACAGTTACAATCTTTGCAGCATCCCTATGATCCTGTGATCAAAATTCCGATGCTTGGTGACTGGTTCCTATTTATGACCGTTGCTATGTCTCCAGGTCATGTGATCCTCTTTTGGGAACTTCTGACAAGCAAAATCAATGGGGAATCCTTCGGGCTACTAACTTACCAGCTGCCATGGATTCATTTAACAACGGTAGCAAGAGAGACCGTAAAATGGGGCAAAACTCACTTAATAAATTCTCACTTAACAACAGAAACTGCGGGCTCCATTGTAGTCGTAAGTCAAGGACTACCTGTACAGATTTGGTGAAGATCCATGGTTGCGGCTACGTCACATGGGAAGAAGAGTTGCAGTCAATTTGGGCTTCTTTTAAAATATTGCAATGCTGAAAAATGGAAATCATCTCTGAATACCTATAGACCCGTGGTGGCGAACCTATGGCACGCGTGCCCAGAGGTGGCACTCAGAGCCCTCTCTGTGGGCACATGTGCCGTTGCCCCAGCCCTGCCTCCCCCCGTGCCCCCTCCTCACCAGCAGCCCCCTGGGGGAGAGTCGTCCCCAGGCATGGCCCGCACGGAGCACCGCAGCCAAGGACATGGCAGCTGGGCAGTGGGGACAAGACCCCGCCCTCGTGCCCCATCACACGCAGATGATGCTGCGGGGCGCGGGCGGAGGATGTGGCCACCATGGCGCTGCTGGGCTGCCTGGGCGATCTGCGGCGCGCCATGGAGGCAGTGAGTGACCCTGCGGGCAGCGGGGCAGAGGGCAGGGTGGGGGGGGGCAGTTTTTGGGCACTTGGTCTCTAAAAGATTCACCATCACTGCTATAGACAATATTTTTTTTCTAGGAATAGCATAGATAGTTCCCGAGTTCGTTTAACAATCATTCAGAGTTACAACGGCATTGAAAAAAATGACTTCTGACATTGTTCACACTTATGACCGTTTGCAGCATCTCCCTAGTCACGTGATCAAAATTCAGACACTTGGCAACTGGTTCCTATTTATGACAGTTGCAGCGTCGCGGGGTCACGTGACCCCCGTTTGGGACCTTCTGATGAGCAACGTCAATGGGGAAGCCAGATTCACTTCATAACCATGATAGTAGTAACTTAACAACTGCAACGGTTCACTTAACAGCTGTGGCAAGAAATGTTGTAAAACGGGGCAAAACTCACTTAACAAGTGTCTCGTTTAGCAACATAAATGTTGGGCTCAATTGTGTGGTCGTAGGTTGTGGAGTAGCTGTGCTAGCAAGTTAAGGGAGGAGAAAAACCGTTAATGGGTATGGAAAAAAAAAAGCTACTCCAAATATGAGAATCTCCCTACACCCAAGTCAATTTTTATAGGAATATGAAAGGAAAACAGAGGAACTCTTTGCAATGTCATTATCGCCTGAATGCAGACCCACGCTGGATTTTTTGTTTTTAAGAGGCATTAGGTGCAGATGTTGAGATTTAAGCAAAGACACGATAACAATCTTCAAATATCTGAAAGGCTTTCATATGGAAAGCAGATTTGTCCTCTGCTGTTCGGTGGGGCAAGACTCGGGCTGGGCGAAGAAAATTGCCTGCCAAAAACCATCTTTGGTTAAACTTTAGAACTTAACTTCCTAATATGGCATTGCAAAACCTGAGGGCCCAAACGGTCTCGGTGCCCCAGTTGCCTCTGAATACTCATTTTTTAATGCCACAGAAGGGAAATGTTATAAATGCACGCGGGATCATCATACTAAGGGTGTTTAATACAACTTTTAATAAAATGTTCGTTTAAATTAGGTCAAAATTAGCAAAATCACGGCTAGGCTGGCTTCTTTATTTCAGTCCCGTTGATTATGTAATGAAAACTCCTTAGGTCATTTTTTTTTTTTAAAGCTTATTTTGTATTTCTGGAGAATTTTGGTTTTAAGATGGAAAGAAGACAGTAACATTCCTTGTAAAGACATGCAATTGTGCCATGAAAAGTCTCCACTTCCCTCCATCCCACAGAGTGAATACACAAGGCCATGAGGGAAAGGCCTGTGAAACAGAGATGTGGTGATGCAGGAAGAGACGAGAAAGGCTGCTAGATGTTGGAATAATCAGCTCCAGATCCGCAAGCATTTTTAATTGTTCGGTGATTGTGATAGCAAGATGACTAGCCCCCACCCTTAGCTTCAGAGTGGGGAAATTAGGTGGAAAATTCCAAGTTCTACAGCTGGAATGGAGAAAGCATGAGGTCAGCAGACCAGGAATTAAGCTGGGAAGGACTTGAACTTTACTCAATTGTTCCAAGATTTGTAACTGATTCATTACTGATTGTAAGTGGGTGAGTTGTTTGTAGTACAAACAAGAGGGAAGGGGGGGAAGAGAAGGAGCAGGAGAGAGGAGGAGGGGGGAAAGAAGAAGAAGAAGAAGAAGAAGAAGAAGAAGAAGAAGAAGAAGAAGAAGAAGAAGAAGAAGAAGAAGAAGAAGAAGAAGAAGAAGAAGAAGAAGAAGAAGAAGAAGAAGAAGAAGAAGAAGAAGAAGAAGAAGAAGAAGAAGAAGAAAGCATTCTATAGTTGTACAATAATACCGTGCCCTTGATGAAAAAAAATTAATTATTCTGTGGAGGCTGCCCTTAAAAAAAATCTACCAATTGCCAGTGTAGCATCAACCTTCTATTCTTCTAGATGTGTGATGAATACGTCACCTAGAACGTCCCGTCAATCTGGCTGTGTATGGCTTGGAAATTCTGGGAGTTGTAGACCTGGACAACACTGAGTAAATGTGTTTCTCCTCTCCCACCAAACAGCTCAGCTTTTTTTTTGAGAAGCCCACCAAGCCTTCCAAGACCCCCCATCAGAAGGTCTGCAGGATGAAATGGATCCAGGGGATGTAATTGGCAATGCGGGTATAGACATCCGGAAACCACCGATCACCACATCTCTTTCCGTTGAAGGAGACGATGCCCTGAACGTGTTTCCCACACACTAAAGGGCCACCTGAGTCACCCTACAAAAGAAGGAAGAGATGGCAAAGCACAAGGTCTCAGTCCTTGGGCAAATGGCTCCAAGCCACATCCCCATGTTCCCCCCCCCCTTGCAGTAACATGACATCAAGCCTCAAATAATAATATTAATAAGGACAAAAATGTCAAATCCAGTCTAAACATCTGGCTGACTGTGCAGATAATAATAATAATAATAATAATAATAATAATAATAATAATAATAATAATATAAAGTTAGAAGGGACCTTGGAGGTCATCTAGTCCGACCTCCTGCTCAGGCAGGAAACCTTATACCAGACATGTCAAACCTGCAATGTCATGTGACGTTGCGCAATGTATTGGGACTGTTTCGCCATTGCTAGCAATGGGGTGAGTGCGGCTTCCACGTGATGCATCCAGCCTGTGGGCTGTCAGTTTGATACCCCTGCCCTATACCATTTAAGATAAATGGCTGTCCACACTCTTCTTAAAAACTTCCAGTATTGGAGCATTCACCGCTTCTGGAGGCAGGTTGTTCCATTGGTTAATTGTTCTAACTGTCAGGAAATTTGTCCTTAGTTCTAGGTTGCTTCTCACTTTGGTTAGTTTCCATCCGTTGCTTCTTGTCCTGCCTTCAGGTGCTTTGGAGAATAGTTTGACTCCCTCTTCTTTGGGGCAGCCCCTGAGATATTGGAACACTGCTATCATGTTCCCCCTCGTCCTTCTCTTCATTAAACTAGACATACTCAATTCCAGCAACCGTTCCTTTTATGTTTTAGCCTCCAGTCCCCTGATCATCTTTGTTGCTCTTCTCTGCTCTTTCTACAGTCTCAACATCTTTTTTACATCATGATGACCAAAACTGAATGTAGTGTTCCAAGTCTGGCCTTACCAAGGCATTGAAAAGTGGTATGAACACTTCACGTGATCATGATTCTATCCCTCTGTTAACGCAGCCTAGCACTGTGTTGGCTTTTTTGGCAGCTGTAGCACACTGCTAGCTCATATTTAAGTGACTGTCCACTATTACTGTTGAGCCAAGTATCACCTATACCAGGGGTCTCCAAACTTGGCCCTTTGATGACTTGTGGATGTCAACTCCCAGAATTCCTCAGCCAGGCATGCCTGGCTGAGGAATTCTGGGAGTTAAAGTCCACAAGTCATAAAAGGGCCAAGTTTGAAGACTCCTGACCTATACTATACTTGTGAACTTTACTTTTTTCACCACTGAATTTCATTTTGTTAGATAGTGCCCAGTGTTCAAGTCTGTCCAAATCCTCCTGTATCTTAAGCCTGTCTTCCGGAGTGTTGACTATTCCTGCCAGCTTGGTGTCGTCTGCAAATTTGATGAGTTCCCCATCTATCCCCTCATCCAAATAGTTGATGAAGATGTTGAAAAGCACTGGGCCCAGAACAGAGCCCTGGGGCACCCCACTACACACTTCCCTCCATGTAGATGCAGTTCCATTGAGGACCACACGCTGAGTACTGCCGGTCAGCCAGCTACGAATAATAGATTTTGGTAATCCCCAAAGACAATGGAATCAAGACAAAAGAAGAAGAAAAAACCCAGATCGTAGAGAGGTAATGATCAGCATGGTAGATTAGATCCTGCAAAGTCACTCCTGTAGTCATTCATTCATTCATTCATTCATTCATCATATTGATACAGGTAGTTCTCAACTTACAACAGTTTACTTAGTGACCATTCGAAGTCACAACAGCTTTGTAAAGTGATTTATGACTATTTCACACACTTACGACCGTTGCAGCGTCCCCATGGTCACGTGATCAAAATTCAGACACTTGGCAACGGGCATATATTTATGGCGGTTGCAGTGTCCCAGGTTCATGTGATCAGCTTTTGTGATCTTCTGACAAGCTAAGCCAGGGGTAGGCAACCTTGGCTCTTTTATGACTTGTGGACTTCAACTCCCAGAATTCCTGAGCCAGCATGGCTCAGCTTGGAAACCTCTCCCTTTCTCCTCAGCATGGCTGGCACAGGAATTCTGGGAGTTGAAGTCCACGAGTCATAAAAGAGCCAAGGTTGCCTACCCCTGAGCTAAGCCAATGGGAAAGCCAGATTCACTTAACAACGGTATTACTAACTTAACTGGTTCCTTTAACAGCTGTGGCAAGAAAGGTCACAAAATGGGGCAAAGCTCACTTAACAAATGTTTCACTTAGCAACAGGGGCTCAACTGTGGTCCTACGTTGAGGACTACCTGTATTATTTTTGGTTTGTTTTCATATACTTTGTTGTAGATTGCCCACAGGGGTGATTAATAAGTAGAGTGAACCAATCAGTTTAATGCAGGGGTTCTCAAACTTGGCCACTTTAAGACTTGTGGACTTGAACTCCCAGAATTCCCCAGCCACATGGCTGGCTGGGGAATTCTGGGAGTTCAAGTCCACAAGTCTTAAAGTGGCCAAGTTTGAGGAGCCCTGGTTTAATCCATCAACTTGTGACCAACGGCCTAATGGATGACAGCACCAGCCCTTTGTTGATCACATTCTCAGGTTCGCAATTTTACCCTTGCAGGGTTGCAGTCTCGGGCCAAACATGGCATATCAAACTCCACAGCATCCCGAGTTTCTATTTTGAGAAAGTCCCCCCAGGGCTCACCGAGCAGAAACCACGCAGGACGGGACTGGTGCTGGCTGCGCACACCATGTTCTTGAAGACGTGTCCTTGCCACGAGTCGTTGCAAGCTTTCCTGTCCACAATGGTGGTGTTGGCTTCCATGAGTTTAGTGGGGACGGTCGCATAATTTGTGATGTCCCCCCAGCCAATAACGTGGCACGGGAGTCCAGGGCAAGGATCATTGTTGGCTTGAGGTAACTTGATCCGCCGGACATTCTTGTTGAAAATGGCGGATCTATTCAACTGCAGTAAGAAAGAGAAAAGACGAGATGGGCTGCTAAGGCCGGTGTTGCATTTTCACCATGATTCATCTGCAAAGTATGAACCACAAACAGGAGCAGGTACAACCTATTCTCCAAAGCACCTGAAGGCAGGACAAGAAGCCATGGATAGAAACTAATCAAAGAGAGAAGCAACCTGCAACTAAGTAGAAATTTCCTGACAGAACAATTAATCTGTGGAACAACTCGCCTCCAGGACAGCAATAGCAATAGATTTATATACCGCTTCACAGTGCTTTATAGCCTCTCTAAGCGGTTTACAGAATCAGCCTATTGCCTCCATCAATCTGGGTCCTCATTTTACCGACCTCGGAAGGATGGAAGGCTGAGTCAACCTTGAACCGGTGAGAATCGAACTACTGTCAGATGGCAGTCAGCAGACGTAGCCTGCAGTACTGCATTCTAACCACTGTGCCTCCACAGCTCATAGGTTATGGGTGTTCCAACACTGGAGGTTTTTAAGAAGAGATTGGACAATCATTTGTCTAAGATGGTATAGAGCAGGGGTCCTCAAACTTGGTCACTTTAAGACTTGTGGACTTCAACTCCCAGAATTCCTCAGCCAGGCATGCTGGCTGAGGAATTCTGGGAGTTGAAGTCCACAAGTCTTAAAGTGGCCAAGTTTGAGGACCCCTGGTATAGAGTTTCTTGTTTGAGCAGGGGGGTTGGACTTGAAGACCTCCAAGGTCCCTTCCAACTCTGTTATTCTGTTTTTCAGTTGTGTGCACACTTTTTTGAATCCCACGTCTAGGTGTAACCATAGGTATGGTCCAAAGTTCCTAAGTAATGCAGGTAACCCTCGACTTATAACCACAACTGAGCCCAATATTTCTGTTGCTAAGTGAGACAGTTGTTTAAGTGAGTTTTGCCCTGCTTTACGACCTTTCCTGCCGCAGTTATTAAGTGAATCACTGCAGTCGTTAAGTTAGTAGCATGGTTATTAAGTGAATCTGGCTCCCCCATTGACTCTAGCTAGTCAGAAGCTCTCAAAAGGGGAATCACATGATCCCAGGACAGTGCAACTGTCAGATACATGCCAGTTGCTAAGCGGCCAAATGTTGATCATGTGACCGTGGGGATGCTGCAACTGTCATAAGTAGGAAAACCGGTCAAAGCCATTTTTTTTCACTGTTGTTGTAATTTTGAGCAGTCACTAAATGAATGGTTATAAGTCAAGGACCGCTATAGACTTGTTCATGGTAGTCCCACCAATTCAAATGCCTTCCTCACCAAGTCAGTTTAGTGAATTCTCTTCATTAAACTAGACATACCCAACAGTTGCAGGAATTGGGTGTGTCTAGTTTAATGAAGAGAAGGACGAGGGGGGACATGATAGCAGTGTTCCAGTATCTCAAGGGCTGCCCCAAAGAAGAGGGAGTCAAACTATTCTCCAAAGCGCCTGAAGGCAGGACAAGAAGCAACAGATGGAAACTAATCAAGGAGAGAAGCAACCTCGAACTAAGGAGAAATTTCCTGACGGTTAGAACAATTAATCAGTGGAACAACCTGCCTCCAGAAGCTGTAAATGCTCCAACACTGGAAGTTTTTAAGAAGAGACTGGACAGCCATTTGTCTGAAATGATATAGGTTCTCCTGCTTGAGCAGCAGGCTGGACTAGATGACCTCCAAAGTCTCTTCCAGTTCTATTCTATTCTATTCTAAATCCCAACTCATTCGAGCACAGTTTTCTGCCTTACTCTTTAAAGATTCTTTTCCCACAACGTTACATAAGTTTTATTTGCAGTTTTTATGGCCAGCAGTTTGTTCATGCAAAGTGATCCAAAAGGTTTGGGAGGTCTAGAGAGAAATGTTGAGGGGGAGCATTTCAGAAGCTGTTCAAAACAACTGAATGTTGTGCCACACCATCCAGATGTTGGCCATCTGACGTGTCCTGGTCTGTGGAGCCACTTAGCCATTTCCACCCTGCTGGAACTTAAGTACATCACACATGTTGCCTGCAATTATTTCTTCCTTGCGGAAACCAAGATCGCCACCTAGTGTTTATCTTTTAATACACAGAACAATGGAAAACAGACCCACGGTTTTGATTTATAATTTGGGAGTAATGGTAGTGTGTTATGAGAGTTTGGGAATTGAGAGATAGGAAATATATCTTGCACTAATGAACAACTAGAATTTCAGTCCCCAATTGCTTGAAATCTGAAGAATTTTTCCCAATCAAGCTTAGAAGACAGTAGAACGTAGATTAGATGGCTGATTTGGTATAAGTTGGCTTCCTAGATGCTTTTTAAAATTTACCATTTATTGAGACTCCAATAAGTAACTGGAATCTTACTTTATTTTGCAGCAGTGAATAATAGTTCAGCAAAAGGGCATATTTGTATGAATGCAAATAGCCTTCAGCATAATTTCTCACGTCTTGACCATTTAGTTAATTAAATCCTTTTTAAAGCATCAGTTTTGCAAATGAAAAGCAAGATTTGATCTGGCTGCATAAGTTGGCAAACCCTTCCCTAGGAAGGGAAGGAAGGAAGGAAGGAAGGAAGGAAGGAAGGAAGGAAGGAAGGAAGGAAGGAAGGAAGGAAGGAAGGAAGGAAGAGCAATAGCACTTAGACTTATATACCACTTTACAGTCCTCTCTAAGCGGTTTACAGAGTCAGCCTATTGCCTCCAACAATCTAGGTCCTTCATTTTACCAACCTCGGAAGGATGGAAGGCTGAGTCAACCTGAGCTGGTGAGAATCGAACTGCTGACAATCCGCAGAATTAGCCTGCAATACTGCATTGTAACCCCTGCACCTTTATGGCTCTTCCTTCCACCAAGGAAGGAAGGAAGGAAGGAAGGAAGGAAGGAAGGAAGGAAGGAAGGAAGGAAGGAAGGAAGGAAGGCCTGGCCTTAGAATCTTGCACTAAACATTAATATCCTTTAACTAAGACTTTTATCAGGAAAAAAAAACATTTCTTTGCAATGTGCAGTAGCAAAATAATATAATGCTATTCTTTTTCTGCCATTGTATACCCAGACAGGTGCCTGTTTCTCTCCCCACACTCACTTTGAGTAAACGGATGTCATTTTTCACTGTCTCGGGATTGAAAAGTGGGTGAGCAATGGAGTTCTTGATTCCAAAGATTTGCTGGGAGGCCTCTGGCTTCTTGAGTGAATGGGCACCGAGGATGACACGAAACTGTGCAGACCGCCTGCCAGGATAAATTGAGAAAAGGTTAGAACTGGCAATATTGATCCCTACTGCATAAGACAATTTCCACAAGAAAAAGAAACATAACCTCTTGTGGGAAGTCAGCCCCCCAGAGAAGGAAATATTAAAAAGGGCAGGAAAATATATTTCCTCAAAGGATCTTAAAGAGGCAGAAAAGCATGCCCAGTTTTCTTAATAGCCCCAAGTCTCCCTCCCCCAAGCAGAAACCAGCTCAGTAGAAATGCAGATGTAAACCATTCAGGAAAGTTAAAGCTAGAAGAGTAAGAAGAGTAAGAAACCTAAAATCTACATACACCACCCAAACTCTAAGACAGGACATAATACGATTAACACAGAGATGCACATTCAGACTCAGGTCAAAATACATGGCACAGAAAATATAAAGCCTCAAACAGGAACAGGAAACAACCTCAAGAGCCCCAGAGGGTATAAAAACCCACTCCTTACATATGCTCACTCTTTTTTTTCTGCCAGAGCCATCTTTCTGTCTGGCTCTCCTCTTCAATAAACTGCAACCTAAAGCAGTCGCCATGTTGTTTATCCCCAGCTTGGACTGAACCATGATGAAGACTTTTCCTTCAACATTCTCTTCAGGAGAAACTTAGTTTTCGGGAAATAGGGCAATACAGGTAGCCTCAACTTATGACTATAATTGAGCCCCAAGTTTCTGTTATTAAGTGAAAACAATTGTTAAGTGAGTTTTGCCCCATTTTACAACCTTTCTTGCCATAGTTGTTAAGTGAATCACTGCAGCTGATAAGTTAGTAACATGTTAAATTAATCTGGCTTCCCCATTGACTTTGATTTTGAAACGGTCCCCAAAGGTGATCACATGGCCTTGGGATACAAGCATCAGTCATAAATAGGAACCAGTTGCCAAGCATCTGAATTTTGATCACATGATCACAAGGGAATGCTGCAATGGTTGTATCTGTGAAAAATGGTCATAAGTCACATTTGTCAGGGCCGTTGGAACTTTGAACGGTCACTAAACGAACTGTTGTAAGTCAAGGCGTATCTTTATGTGCACACACTGATTTTAAAGTGGAGTTTGGCCCTTTAGTGAACTCACAGTTACATTAGTCATAAACGTTGGGCGATCCAGCTGCCTGGTTCACTTTACCCGAACAGAATCCGGGCTGGATCCTCAAAATCTACGGTACTCTTTGTTTATGTACACAAGCAAAAACAGCATTTGAGGAGCCCCTAAGAAGATGGAGGATTCCTATGGCTAGAAAGAGAATCAAAGAGAAAGGAATGTGATATGTAATTTTGAATACATATTAGCAAGAAGAAGGCTATTGAGTGATTAATTAACATATGGTTTATGATAATTAACTGTTATCTATTATTGTTTGTTAAATACATGAACCCAGACATTATGCTGTTTGCTAAATATTGAGAATGTTATTTGGAAAAATCCCAATCCCAACCCTAACCTTAATCCTAACCCTAACCCAAATCCCAACCACAACCCCAATCCCACCTTGTTCCTAACCCCATAAAAACTAATAAAATCTATACAAAAAAAAGTGGAGGATTCCTTTATACAGGTAGTCCTTGACTTACAATCGTTCATTTAGTGACCATTCAAAGTTACAATGGCAATGGAAAAAAAAAGGAACTTATGACCGTTTTTCATACTTACAATCTTTGCAACATCCCCAGGGTCACGTGATCAGAATTCGGGCAATTGGCAACTGCTCTCGTAACTTTCCCAGCTAGCTTCTAAAAAAGGAAAATCAATGGGGGAAGCCAGCTTTGCTTAACAACTGCAGGTTTCACTTAACGACTGCAGTGATTTGTTTAACAACTGTGGCAAAAAAAAGGTTGGAAAATGGGGTACACAACTCACTTCACTGTGTTGCTTAGCAGTGGAAATTTTGGGCTTCATTGTGGTCGTAAGTTGAGGATCCCCTATACAGAGTTCAACCATAGTGGGTTTGGAATGAATTCTTTCACTGACTTTTGATCCATTGCTGATGCAACATACATGCTCAAAGGTTCTAACATGCAACGTGCAACATCCCATAATTTTGTAGTGTGATCTCGTTAATGCTCCTCTACCTATTTAAGAGATGTGTTTTTCACATTAAAATCAGTCTGCAAGATCGTTAAAGAAAGAACGAGAACTAAGGAGAAACTTCCTGACAGTGAGAACAATTAACCAGTGGAACAATCTGCCTTTAGAAGCAGTAAATGCTCCAACACTGGAAGTTTTTAAGAAGAGACTGGACAGCCATTTGTCCAAAATGGTGTAGGGTTTCCTGCCCAAGCAGGGGGTTGGACTAGATGACCTCCAAGGTCCCTTCCAATTTTACTACTATTACTATTACTATTACTACTACTACTACTACTACTACTATTATTATTATTATTATTATTATTATTATTATTATTATTATTATTACCTCAACAATCCCTTCCAATCCTATTATTCTAGGCTCTAAGTCAATGTATAATAAAAGAGAATCCTTGTCCTTGGCAAGTTTGAACCAGTTCTCTTATCAGGGTCTACATAGCTTTCCTTATTCCTTCAAGAACTAAAAACATTAATCAAAGAAACTCCTAGTTACTGAAAACATTCATCAAAGAAGCCCTCTCTGCTGCTGCCGCAGCCATCAATTTGTACCTCAGTCCTTGTATTAAGTTATGCAAACATTTTAGGCAAACCCATCATGTGAGCAACATTGTGCAAATGCAGAAAAGGATTTAGAAGTGTTTCTCTACGTTGGCCACTTTAAGAGGTATGGACTTCAATTCCCAGAATTCCCCAACCATTATTCTAGATCAGGGGTAGGCAACCTTGGCTCTTTTATGACTCATAGACTTCAACTCCCAGAATTCCTGAGCCAGCATGGCTCAGCATGGAAACCTCTCCCTTTCCCCTCAGCATGGCTGATTCAGGAATTCTGGGAGTTGAAGTCCACAAGTCATAAAAGAGCTAAGGTTGCCTACCCCATGTTCTAGATACTCTCAGATTATTTGATACAAATTGGAACTCTAATCCAGCTGACTTTGCATGCAGGCTTATTGGAGAATAATAATCCCCTTGAGAGGGAATAATTTTATCTGTTTGTGATCTAGTAGTTGCAACACATCACACTGGTTGTTATTTACCAACAGAGGAGAAGACCAATAGAAGTAGCTCAAGGTTGAGCTGTGGGGTCCTTGGTTCTCTCTGACCCTGGATGTTTGCCTGCAGATGTTTCATGACCCAACTAGGTAACATCATCAGTGCTAGAAGGGAGCGGGGTAAGTTGTTACTTACTTGGGGATCTGACAATGAGCTGCTGTCATCACCCAATTCCGTCCCACCAAGAACCCACCACAGAGGTGTCTGTTCTCCTCTTGGATGGAGGCCATAAAGGGCCGAGAATGGGGTTTCACTTCCTTGCCTCCAATGACCCACGTTCTCCGGATCCCAGCAGCAAAACAAAGACCTACACAAAGAAGCACAAAGGGAGGAAATGATTGATTAAGGACTAAATTACTTAGTCCCCAGATAAAGGGATTAAAGCAGGGGTCTTCAAACTTGGTCCTTTTATGACCTGTGGACTTCAACTCCCAGACTGGCTGAGGAATTCTGGGAGTTGAAGTCCACAGGTCATAAAAGGGCCAAGTTTGCAGACCCCTGGATTAAAGAATTGTAAAAAGATAAAAAAAAATGTCCTGTCTAGAGCCAGGGTGGCGCAGTAGTTAGAATGCAGCATTGTAGGCTAATTCTGCTGACTGCTGACTGCCAGCAGTTCGGCAGTTCGATTCTCACAGGCTGAAGTTTCACTCACCTTCCCATCCTTCCGAGGTTGGTAAAAGGAGGACCCAGATTGTTGGTGGCAACAGGCTGACTCTGTAAACCGCTTAGAGAGGCTATAAAGCACTGTGAACTGGCACTTAAGTCTAAGTGCTTTTGCTATTGCCATATGTAGGCCACGTTGCTACGACCTGAATGTACCCAGATTAGAAATACTGCCTCATTATTTACTGCTTCATTATATAAAGGTTAATTTAGTGTCCTGGCTGAGTGGCACGGTGGCCTAGAGCAGTGGTTCTCAACCTTTTTAATGCCGCAACCCCCAACCGGTCGTAAGTCGAGGACTACTCAACTGGTGCAGCACCGTTTGCAGAATGGGACTTTTGGCGGGCTCAGCAGGGCACAGACAGCCTGGACAATTCCTATTGGCTTTTGAAAGCCAATAGAATTAGACTCTATTCAAGAGAGTCTATTCTATTGGCTTTCAAAAGCCAATAGAATAAAAGGGAGTAGCACAGCTAAGGAAAAGGGGGGGGGGGGAATGGCGACTGCATTGTTTGGCGACCCCCGTGAAATGGTCATTCGACCCCAAATGTGGTCCCGACCCACAAGTTGAGAACCACTGGCCTAGACGTATAGATGCTCACCTTCCACTAGGAAGGTTAAGAGTTCAATTCCAGGCAACAACAGATGTATCTGCTGGGAACTCAAATTTGCTATTTAAGTCCTCTAATTGACTTTGAACAACGATTGTGTTGATTCAACCGTATAGGTGCTGTAGGTAGTCCTTGACTTACGACCAAACGGAGCCCAAAATTTTGGTTGCTAAGCAAGACAGTTGTTAAGTGGGTTGTGCCGCATTTGATGACATTTTTTGGCCACGGTTGTTAAGCAAATCACTGCAGTTGCTAGGTGACTTATGTGGTCATATTAAGCAAATCTGCCTTCCCCAGTTGACTTTGCTTGTCAGAAGCTGAGTGGGAAGGTTATAAATGGTGATCACATGACACCAGGATAGTGCAACTGTCATAAATACATGCCAGTTTCCAAGTGCCTGAATTTTGATCCTTTGACCATGGGGATGCTGCAACAGAATCAAGATCACGTGAAGTATTAATACTACTTTACAATGCCTTGGTAAGGCCACACTTGGAATACTGCATCCAGTTTTGGTCACCACGATGTAAAAAAGATGTTGAGACTCTAGAAAGGGGACTGGAGGCTAAAACATATAAGGAACGGCTGCTAGAATTGGGTATGTCTAGTTTAACGAAGAGAAGGATAAGCAGTGTTCCAATATCTCAGGGGCTGCCATAAAGAAGAGGGAATCAAGCTATTCTCCAAAGCACCTGAAGGCAGGTCAAGAAGCAACGGGTGGAAACTAATCAAGGAGAGAAGCAACCTAGAACTAAGGAGAAACTTCCTGACAGTGAGAACAATTAACCAGTGGAACAATCTGCCTCCAGAAGTGGTGAATGCTCCAACACTGGAAGTTTTTAAGAAGAGACTGGACAGCCATTTGTCTGAAATGGTATAGGGTTTCCTGCCTGAGCAGGAGGTTGGACTAGATAACCTCCAAGGTCCTTCCAACTTTATTATTATTATTATTATCGATCATCGCACAGTCAGCCAGATGTTCAGACTGGATTTGGCATTTTGTCTACCTATCGAGTCCTTACCCAGGACCTGGGATAGGCAGATGTGGATGTTTGATGGTATTACAGATATCGTCGCAGGATGGAAGCAGTTCCTAATAAGGCTGCCTTTTGCAATTGACTAATAGCGAATTTGTCAATTCCAATGGTGTTCAAGTGGTGCTCCAGTTGTTTTGGGATTGCACCCAAGGAGCCTATGACTATTGGTACTACCCTTGCTTGCTTTTGCCACAGTCTTTCTATTTCTATTTGTAGGTCTTTGTATTTTGTTATCTTCTCCAGTTCTTTCTCTTCTATTCTGCTATCTCCAGGCACTGCCACGTCCACTATCCAGACTTTTTTGTCTTTCTTATCGACAATTGTTAAGTCTGGGGTGTTATGTTGCAGGTGCTTGTCTGTTTGAATTCTGAAGTCCCAGAGCAGTTTAATTTTATCATTTTCTATGACTTTCTCTATTTTATGATCCCACCAGTTTTTGCTTACAGGCAAATGATATTTTTTGCAGATCTTCCAATGCACCATTGTTGCTACTTTGTCATGCCGCTGCTTGTAATCAGTCTGTGCAATCTTCTTGCAACAGCTTACCAAGTGGTCCACTGTTTCTTCAGCTTCTTTGCATAGGCGGCACTTACTGTCTGTTGCTGTCTTCTCAATTTTGACTTTGTATGCATTTGTCCTTAAGGCTTGGTCTTGTGCAGCCAGAATTAGTCCCTCGGTCTCTTTCTTCAATTTTCCTGCTCTTAGCCATTGCCAGGTTTATTATTATCTGCTTTCCCAGCTATTTTTTTCATGTATTGGCCATGTAGTGCTTTGTCTTCCCATGCCTCTATTCTGTTCTTCATTTGGTCTTTCTTGTAGGCCAGTTTGGTCTCTCCAGTAGTTAGTAAGCCTTCCTGATATACTAATTTCAGTGCATCTTCATCATTGTTCTTCAGATATTCTTCCAAAGCCATTTTTTCTTCTTCAACCATCTGATGTACTTGTAGCATTCCACGCCCACCTATTTGCCTTGGTAGATAAAGTCTATCAATGTCACTGCGTGGATGAAGGGCATGATTCATTGTCATTATTTTTCTGGTCTGCCTATCCATTGCTTTTAGTTCTGCTTGAGTCCAGTCCACTATTCCAGCTGTGTACCTAATGACTGGGATTGCCCAGGTGTTGATTGCCTTTATGGTATTTCCTCCATTGAGTTTGGACTTTAAGATCTTCTTCACTCTCTTGATGTATTCACCTCTAATCTTTTTCTTGACTTCAGTGTGCTTGATGTTGTCAGCTTGAAGGATACCCAAGTATTTGTAGTACTCTTCCTCATCCAGACTCTTAATGTTATTTTCGTGGGGCATCTTGATTCCTTCAGTTTTCACTATTTTTCCTTGTTTGATAGTAAGTGTGGCACATTTGTCCAAGCCAAACTCCATTACAATATCTTGGCTATATATACGGACAGTGTTGAGCAGCGATTCTATTTCAGATGATGTTTTTCCATACAGCTTCAGATCATCCATGTATAAGGAGGTGGGATAGTCTGGCAGATGTTTTTGATGTTTGATAGCCATGTCCTGAGTTATTCAGTATTGTTGACAGAGGAAACAGTGCAATAACAAATAGTAATGGTGATAATGAATCTCCTTGAAATATTCCTCTCTTGATATTAACCTCTCCCAGCCTCTCACCATTGATCTGCAACTGTGTCTTCCATTGTGCCATCGATCTTTGCACAAATTTTCTGATGTTTCTACTGACTCCTGTTATTTCTAGGCACTTTATTATCCAATCATGTGGCAGAGAGTCAAATGCCTTTTTGTAGTCAATCCATGCCACATTCAGGTTGGTCTTCCTTCTCTTGCAGTTTTCCAAGATCATTTTGTCTATTAGGAGTTGATCTTTTGTTCCTCTGCTATTGGGGCGGTTTCCTTTCTGCTCAGGTGGAAAGAGATTGTTTTCAACTAGATGCTGTTGCACTGCATCAGCTACTACACCAGTTAGTAATTTGAAAGTTGTTGGTAAGCAGGTAATTGGCCTGTAGTTACCTGGTGTTGCCCCTTTTGCTGGATTTTTCATTATTAGGTAGGTTTTCCCAGTTGTTAGCCACTTTTCAATTTCTCCTCCTTGTAGTATATTGTTGAACTGCTTGGCAATGAGTGGGTGTATAACAGTTAGATGTTTCAACCAAAACCCATGCAGTTCATCTTCACCTGGTGCTGACCAATTTTTGATTTTCTTTGCTCTTTTTTCTACCATTTTTGTTGTTATTACTAGTTCTTTCATTTCAACTTCTGTTTTATTTGCATCCACCTCTTTTAACCAAGCCGCATCCTTGTTGTATTTCTTTGGGTTATCCCATATCTGCTTCCAGAACTGCACTGTTTCTTCCTTGTCAGGTACTGACTGATTCCTTGCAGTTTCTCCATTGATGGATTGGTAGAAACGTTTCTGATTGGATTGAAATTGGAGGTTCTGCCTATAGTTTGCAATTCGAGCTTCATATCTACTGATTTTCCTGGCTATAGCTGTTATTTGTTGCTTTATTATTTCCAGTGCTTCCTTGATCTTCCTTGTTTCTAAGTGGTATTTCTTGATTAGGTATTCTTTGGTCTTCTTGTTCTTCAGCTTCTTTTCTTTCATCTGTTCTAGCTTGCTTGCATGTGATCTTAACTTGCTGATCTTATATTATTATTATTATTATTATTATTATTATTATTATTATTAGTTGTACATGTTAAAACTGGCGATGTCACTTTTTTTCAGTGCATTTGTAATTTTAAACAATCATTAAACCAATTGTTATAAGTCAAAGACTACCTATACAAAATGCTCCAGATAAGCCCTCAACATTTTACCTCAGGACAGAATGGAACTCTCCTCACAATCAAATTGTTTACAACCCGTCTGTAGGAGCAATCGTAAGGTTAGTTATTTAAGCAATGGCTTCATGTTGCTTCCTCATGGTTAAATTTGTGATTTGTGGTGAAACCTATATTGCTTTTTATGTATTACTAAAGCTGACTCTTCTATACCAGTGTTTCTCAACCAGACCACTTGAAGATATGCGGACTTCAACTAACAAAATTTCCCAGCTAATGCTACTAAAGAACCTATCAGTTTTTTTAAACGAAATGTTAGCAATAATACTCAAATTACATAAAACAGTTTGGTTAAGGCCCCAGGCTAGAAAGCGGGAGACCTTGAGTTCAGGTCCTGCCTTACCCATGAAAACTAGCTGGGTGACTTTGGACCAGTCCTTCTCTCTCAGCCCAACCCACCTCACAAGGTTGTTGTGGTGGGGAAAATAGGAGGAGAGTCTATTGCAGGGGTAGGCAACCTGGGCTCCCAATTCTGGGAGTTGAAGTCCACGAGTCATAAAAGAGCCCAGGTTGCCTACCCCTGATCTATTGGATATGTTCATTGCCTGGAGACATTTGTTATAATAATAAAGGCAAGATACAGATTAAATAAACTAAATTAAGTGATATTCTGAATCTAACGAAAAGAAATGTTAGCTTTACCTGCCTGGAGCAGGACCCAAAGGAATAGCCGTGTCCTCAGGAGCTGCAAGTCTGCTCTCCCCATCTTTTCAGATCTGGAGAAAAAATTGCCAGCCTCCTCAGCCTTAAAAAAGTGACCTGTTGCCCAATGAAGAAATGAAATAAAGGAAGCCTCTTTCACTTTTTGGAACACGCTTACAGCAGCAAATCCTTTGAAGAGGGCTTGAATGTGTCATGCAATGGGTGGTTGATAGCCTGCCTGGGTCTGCTTCAACTGCCCAAGAGAGTTACTCAAGCAGTTAGCTGGTGTGGTTTCTTTGGGTAACCCCTTCCCTAAAAGGCTTGGGGTAAAGAGGAAGAAGCAACTACCCCATGCCGGATTTACAACTTGGATCAAGGAAGGACCGAAGTAGATAAGCCACCTCTGCTTCTGCATCAGTGACACAAGAACTTTGATCTGGACAGCTGTGGCATGTAGGAATTTAACCAACTGGTCTTGCAGTATTGGAAAGACTCACCAGACTCTGAAACTTTTCCAAAATGGGATGAGTCATCTGTGCTGCATGGGAAGGATGTTTGAGATGTTGTCCAGCCTTGCCTAAGCATCCAAGTGACCAAGATTTGCTAGATAAGAAACAGAGGCAGGTCTATTGGATAAATATTGCATCCAGTTTTGATTGCCATGATATGAAAAAGATGCTGAGACTCTACAAAGAGTCCAGAGAAGAGCAACAAAGATGATCAGGGGACTGGAGACTAAAACATATGAAGAACGGTTGCTGGAATTGCATATATCCAGTTTAATGAAAAGAAGGACTAGGAGTGACATGATAGCAGTGTTCCAATATCTCAGGGGTTGCCACAAAGAAGAGGGAGTCAAGCTATTCTCCAAAGCACCCGAAGGTAGGGCAAGAAGCAATGGATGGAAACGGATCAAGGAGAGAAGCAACCTAGAACTAAGGAGGAATTTCCTGACAGTGAGAACAATTAATCAGTGGAATGACCTGCCTCCAAAAGTTGTAAATGTTCCAATACTGGAAGTTTTTAAGAAGAGATTGGACAGCCATTTGTCTGAAATGGTGTAGGGTTTCCTGACTGAGCAGGAGTTGGACTAGATTAGAAGACCTCTAAGGTCCCTTCTAACTCTGTTGTTGTTGTCGTTGTCGTTGTCATTGTCATTGTTGTTATTATATACACATATGCATATGCATGTAGATATAGATACACATACACATGCACATGCACTTATATATATATACACACACATATATATACACATACATATACACACGCACATACATACACATACATGTGCACATATACATACACATAGACACATACATGCACATATACATACACATGCACATACACCTACACATGCACATATACGTATATACATAGGTCCTGTTACACCTTCTAATCTCTTTGGACAGAAAAAAGAGGACTGGAATCAAAGTGACATCAAATTTCAATACACTGAAGCCTGAACTTATTTTAGTTTACCCTTTGGGTCCCCCAGCCATATACATCTCAGTGTTCAAAAGCTCAAGGACCCTTCCCCCCTATGAGGAAAAAACCTGGCAGAGTGAACTAAACAGGAAGACATAAACCAGCTCTGTGTGTGAGTGTTTGTGTGTTCACAAGTACCAGCTCCGAGAGTGGATGAGATTAATGGACTAGGTCTACTCCCTATCTCATGGTTCCATCGCTTCCTCATTCTGCTGTAGCTTGAGGAAACATCTCCTGCAGGAAGATCAGGACATCTGGAGAGCAGCCCGTTGAGCAGGCCAACCGCTATGTTCATTTCATTCTCCAGAGCACTTCCTGCACCGTTGAAAGCCAGGAAGATGGGTTTTTCTGATCACTGTACGCTTTGCACGGAAGGGATGTCGTAACATCCAACACGTCCAGCAATATGTCCAACATGATGGAACCAGTTTTTTTTTAAATAATATTTTATTAATTTTCCAATTTTACATTTGAATACTTAAAAAGCAACGTGGTGGCTGGGTTACAACAGTTCAATAACAAAATCTTAGTGCAAATCTCAGGTTACAACATCAAATATTTCTTCTCTTTTTCCCTTAACATTTACTGTCTCATATTCAGGTTAGTACATTTCTAATTATGTTGGAATAAAGTGGAATAAAGTAGAATAGCATAGAATAAAATGAAGAATAAAGTAGAATAATAATAATGATGATGAAAAATCATTATTTAAGTAAAATGATGTGTCTACATAATTCCTGGAAGAAAGCTGTGTTAGCAAAAGCTGTGTTAACAATACGTGACTGACCTAATACACATTGAGAAACATTGTATAACCTGGGCGATATTGCCCCCCAGGGGGCGATTTCATTTTTCAGGGGGGCAATGGAATGAAAAGGGGCGATGCAGGGGCAAAGGAACGAAAAGGAGGCGATATGGGGGTGACGGAGCGAGAGGTTTTGGGGACACTTTTGAGACTTTTTTGTACACTGTATATCTGTCGTACCAAAACATCAGATCGCTCGCTATTAGTGGATTGAATTGTGTTTTCAAATGTTCCTCCAGCTAGTTTCAGTACAGAACGCCGTACATATGTGAATATGCATCGGCTTCATTTTCGAATTTTTGTTGTGCTCTATAAAACATTTTGTGTGTCTCTTTCTATTGTACTTTTTTAGCGTGCACTCCAGTTCGATATTATATTTTCTTTGTGTCTTTTCAATCCTTTTTACAGTGTGCGTGACTATATATATTTTCCTCGAATCTTAATTTAGTTTCAGAGTTTTTGTCTTGAAATTCTTAGTTCCTGCATTGCGGTTTGTTCTTGTGTCCTTTTTATATTTCTTTTTGTGTCTTAAATTTCACTTGTAATTCAATCATTAAATGTTACTGTTTTTATTTTCGGGCATCTCACTTTCTTGCAATTGAATTTTGTTTTCACTGATTACATTTAAGTGTCTTGAATAAATAAGATAATAATGAAATACACGTGTCATGAAGTTTGGGAATAAAGTGATGAGTAGCACCAAAATTTTTCACACAGTTGAGATATGGGAAAAAGACTGGAAATAAATTATTTGCATTGATATGTCCTGATGACAATTTTAAAGAAAACAAAAAAAGTGTTTGCATAAATTGAAGAATTATTTCCTATGAGAGGTTATGTTGGGGGAGGGGGGGCGATGACAACTTCCTCATTGGCTCAAGGGGGCGATTCGTTCAAAAAGGTTAAGAACCACTGGTATAAAGTAAAACTCTCTTCATTGTATGCCTGTGAGAAACTAACTGAATGATATACAATGTAGATTCCATGTGAGCTTCTTTGTTCCTGAGAAAGGGAGAGCTATAAAACTGTAGTTTGAACCCGCCCCCTTTGTTCGGAATCTGCTGTTGTTAACCAGCTTCTGAACCTTGTGCAAATAAACTTCTCTGTTACACCCTTTGGAATTCGTAAAAGTCCTTTTGTTTTCCACAAGAATGTCAACTCAATAAGAACATCATTATTACATTTATCAATACATTTTTAGCTTGTACATATCTTAATTACATTCAGTCTTCATAAACAATCCATATCCTGTTATTGATTTTTACTCAATTTTTAATTTCTTATCAATATTCCAATTTAACCTTTGGTATTTATAATTTTCAGACTTTGGGTAACCAAAATTTCTCTTATCTCACTTCATAACAAACTATAATATCCAAAATACATATTTTATCTATTTCAATATAATCTTGTTCTATTTCCTAAGAGTTATCATTTCCCATCATATTAAATCATGAACTGAATAACACAATATCCCCTTTAATAAATCAAAACCATTATATATATTGCCTGGCTTAATCAATAAATCAAACATATTCATAATATTTAATTTTCTTTTCCCTTTTAAGTCTAATTTTTAAATATTGAACCGATAAAATCCTTATTTTCAACTGGTTTCCAAATATTTAAAATCTAATAACCAAAATCCCCCTTATCTCAACATCTCCCTTTAACCCTCTGATTGGCTATATAAAACCCCCTCTAATGAGTCAAAATCCCAGTTTTTTCAACCTTATTCTAGCTTTCTTTCTTTGCCAACTAGGATTCCATATCAGCGCCTTTAAATCATCAAATAGATCTCCCTCTATTCTTACATATGTTATTTGAATTAAAGGAGACACTTGATTGCCAGTTTTCTGGAAGCACTAGCCCATTTGTATTCATTAAATTGTCTCCCTGTTATTCCAATTCCCCATGTTTGCTCTAATATATTTGTCTTCAATTCAATCTGTTCTACTTCTTTCTCAAATTTCTTCTGATTTATATAGAAAGTCATTTACATTTTCAATGTTGTCACTTCCTTTTCTGGATTTTCCATCAGGTGTGTTTGTTGGTCAATTGAGTCCTCTGTCTTCATATTTGTTTGTTACACTTCTTCTGTTATGTTCTGCATTGTTGGTTCTTTGGTTGCAGTCAAAATTTGGCTTTGTGCATCTAAGCTGGCATCTTGATCTTTTATTTTAGGTCTTATTTTATCACAAGCTAAAATAATGGTTTCATGTATTGCTTTCAACATGAAAGAATCTTTTCCTGATCTTCATCCATCTCTTTCACTTATTTGTAAATAGTCTTTTTAGTAAAAGTTATTTGTTAAGCAAAAGTCAGTAAAGGTTTACATTCACAATTCAAGTAGACCAATTTTGCTGCCCAGTTGTTCTGTTACAGCTAAGTCTCTCACAGATGGCTCCAAGGTCTGGAAAGTCTTATCTAAGGTCTGGGCTTTGAGCCACATCTCTTTTTAGGAAATAACAAATTGTAATACCAAGTTTCACCACAAGATGTCAATGAAGCCATTTAGAGTTTTTTAAGCCCAGATTTTTTCTAATTCTTTTTCCAATTTTATTTCTTTTTTGTAGATAAAAACTAAAGTCTCCAATAGAAATAGGAAAAATTTTGGTCCCAAAGTTTCAGGAACATATAAATCCAATTAGATTAAAGTTGTTTTTTTAATGCTTTGATTCCCCTGGGTAGTCAGACACCACTATTCTTAGAGGGTGCAACAGAAATTCCCTTCCCTCTCTCCTCACAGGGGGAAGATACTTCAAACAGCCTTTACAGGAAAAGAAGGTACTTAGGGTAAAGAGAAGATCAGATCTCACTCAGTTTCATCCGCGTTGCTTTTAAAGTGCTTGATAGTAGATTTGACTTCAGCTGTCTGCAGCCTAATGATGACCCATATTGCTATGGCCGGTCTTTTCTCTGCCAGTTTGGAGGGCTGCACTGGATCGAGCGGAAGGGCTGCCACCCTCCCGCGATCAAGCGGGGGTCCCCTCCTTGCTCATCGCCCCTACAGGGCGACTTTCGACCCTTTCCAGGGTCCCCCAGTGAAGGAAAATCAGACGTGGAAGAGGAATCGCCTTCCAAGCGTCCGCAGCATCCGTGTCGGCAAACCGGAAGTTGTGATGGAACCAGTTTTGACATTGCTTGCATTTGAGCCTCCACGGTGAAGGATCACCTTGGGGCATCTCCAATTTATCTTCACATTAACTTTGAGGAGATTCGGTTTTGATCTGATGGCTTAAACCAGGGGTCCTCAAACTTGGCCCTTTTGTGACTTGTGGACTTGCTGGCTGAGGAATTCTGGAAGTCCACAAGTCATAAAAGGGCCAAGTTTGAAACCCCTGTTCTAGGTCAATGTTTCTCAATCTCAACCTTATTAAGATGGGTAGACTTCAACTTCCAGAATTTCCCCAGCCAGATATCTGGGAGTTGAAGTC